GAAGGATAGATAGATAGATAGATAGATAGATAGATAGATAGATAGATAGATGATAGATAGATAGATAGATAGATAGATAGATAGATAGATAGATATGCGTGTGTATGTGTGTGTGAGAGAGAGGGAGGGAGAGAGGGAGGGAGAGAGAATGATGATAGACAGACAGACAGACATTTCTCTAATTTAGCAACTTCAATTCATGTAGACTTCAATTTGTGGCTCTTCCAAAGATCAGATGTGCCCGCCATCAAGTCTCCCCCCCCCCCCCCGATTAAGGGGCCTCATAGCCCGGCCTTGGCAATGGAGGCATTGTCGCGTGTGGCACCAAACAGTTGTGCAAAGGACGCCGATTGTGCAAGGCCCAAACGTGATCGGTTTGCCCCCTCTTATTGCCATAAGGCCCTTTGAAGGACTCCAGAGAGGAGGAGGAGGGGCTGAGTCACCTGAACTTCGGGGTGGGGGGGGAGGAAAGTCCCCACAAAACAGGGAAGTCACAACTCCGTGTCGGTTGGGCCGGGAAGTGCAACAGGGAGGAGCAGCACCTGGTTAGGACCGAGCAGAATCTGGAAACTCTTGAAACTGTGTCCCAGGGCATCACCTGCCTTTTCTGGGGGCTTCCTTGTTTCACCTCCACGGTTTTTATAAATCGTTCAAGGCAGCTAATGCTCTTTCCTCCCCCCCCCATTTCCACCACAACAACAGCCCTGTGAGGTGGGCTGGGCTGAGAGAGAAGGACTGGCCCAAAATCCCCCGGTTGGCCTTCAACTTCTGTCCTGGATGGAGCCCATTTTAATTTAGGGCACTAGGTAACATCACCAGTGCTAGAAGGGAGGAGGGTGATGAAGAGGAGGAGGAGGAGGAGGAAGAGGAGGAGGAGGAGGAGGAGGAGGAGGAGAGGGGGGTTAAGGAATCAATTGCTGAAGTCCAACCATGGTGACTGGAGACTTCTGGGAGCTGAAGTCCAGTCGTGCTAGCTGGGACATTCTGCGGACTGAAGTCCACATGTCTTAAAGTTGCCAAATCTGTGAATGACTACTGTCAATCACCCCCAATCTCAGCACGCCCCGAAGACCAACTACAAGCTGCACTTTTCAGCCCCGACCAACACCAGCCAGTGAAGGTAGGCCAACCGAGGGGTTGAAGAAGACTCCTGATTTTAGCTACTTACATTTTAGCAGGAGGCGGATTTTGGGGGGGCAGCGTCACCCCAAAGCTGCAGCCCACCCAAATCCTCTACACGTTTGACCCACAACGGTGACAGTCCCTCCCTCCCTCCCTCCCTCCCTCCAAGCCCTGGCCAGACACCCACTTCACACCGGAGTAAAAATATTTTCCCATAAAGGATCGAGCCGCACCCACCCGCCTCCCTGGGCTCCTCATCTGTCACTTCTGAAAATCAGTGGAGTGTGTAATTGTGCAGCAACCCAATTGTGCATTTTTGCCCAGTCAAGTGTGACCTCTGTGTGTATGTATGTGTGTGTGTGTGTTGTGGTTTCTCAGAAACTGTGCGGGCCAATCATATTTTCAGCAAGAGAATACAACCAAAACTTTGACCTTGCAGATTAATTCAGTTGGAAGGGACCCCTGAGGTCATCTAGTCCGGCCCCCTGCTCAAACAGAGCACCCTATACCTCCCACATGGGCAACTGATCAATCCAATGTCCCTCAAATACAGGTTGTCCTCAACTTAACGGCCACAAATTGAGTCCAAAATTTCCATTGCTAAGCGAGACAGTTGTTAAGAGAGTCTTGGTCCGTTTTATGACCTCTCTCACCACCGTTGTAAAGCGAATCACTGCCGTTGTGAAGTTAGTCACATGGTTGCTAAGTGAATCCGGCTTCCCCGTTGACTTTGCCGGTCAGAAGGTCACAATGAGGAGATCCCTGGACCCTGCAACGGTCATAAATACGAGCTGGTTGCCAAATGTCTGAATTTTGATTCTATGACCATGGAGATGCTGCGACGGTCATTAAGTGTGAAAAAGGATCCCTGTTTTCAGTGCCATTGAAACTTCAAACGGTCACTAAATGAACGGTTGTAAGTCAAAGTTCTGAATTTGCCCCTTCTTTCTAATTTTGTTTTTGATTCCCCTTCAGGTCAGCAGCAGAGATGGCTGGTTCTTTGATCGGGAGGAAAAAGCAGATCCAGAATTACGACCAACTGCAAGTCTTCCCCCCTCACCCAAAAAAACCGGAGCAAATGCAGGAAGGATTTGTGGGTTTGGAGGGTTAGAAAAAACCCCGGGGAAAAGCAAGGAAGGAGCTCTGCTGACTTTGGAATTAAGATTTATATTTGCTGCGAAGGAAATGGGGAATTCCTCGTCTTTGTTTTGGATTTTTCTTTCTGTATTCTGTTTCTTTTTTGTGGGTCTTGGTGAAGTGAAACCTTTCTTTCTTTCATCGTTCCTTCCTTCCCTCCCTCCCTGCCTCCCTCTTTCATTCTTTCTTTTGTTCCTTCCTTCCTTTCCTCCCTCTCCCTTCTTCCTTCCCTCCCTCCCTCCCTGCCTCACTCTTCCTTTCCTCCCTCCCTCCCTCCCTCTTTCCTTCCTTCCTTTCTTCAGCTCTCTCTCTTTCCCCTTCCCCCTTCTACTTTTCTTACCTCCTTTTCTCTTTCTTTCTCATCTTTACCATCACAAGCGTTTCCTTCCAAAGTAAAAAATAAATAAAAGTGAACCGCTGTGGTCCAAAGGAGATTTTATTATGCAATTCGGAACGTATAAAAACGAGAGGTAAAAAAAAAACCCAATAATTTGCAAGGGGCCAGCGAAGTCTTCCAAAGCGAAGCTGCCAGAGATCTCGGGAGGGGAAGGGGTGTTTTTCCCCTCCTCCGGTTGGCTCTGTTCCTTCATCCGACCACGGTGGCGATGACCGGCCCATATCGCCTCACGAAACGGCCTACTTTCCTCGCGGCTCTCCTCCAGCGACGTCTGGTGATCCGGTTCAGCTGAATCAAGAAGATTTCATGAGATCCACGGTCGGGGGGGGGGTGCGATTTCCATTCAGGCCCTTCCTTAAAATCCCTTTAGAGCAGCGTTTCCCCCAATTGAAGGCGCTTGGACTTCAACTCCCAGAATGCACGCTGGCTGGGGGATTCTGGGAGTGGCAGCCCAGCCATCTCCATGCGTCCCACTTTGAAAAACTCTGGTCTAAACGCCCCCCAGGCCGACATACTTACATCGTTACGTGTTTCATTCAATCTTGGTGATTCCGGGATAACCAAATAACTTTAGGGAGAAAGATCCGTGGAGGATAAGCAACATTTACACCTGACCCAAAGAGGCCTTTGACAAAACCGGGAACTGGGCTGAAGCTGCCGCATTCTGGCTACGTGTCAGTTTGTCATAGCCCATCTTCTGAACAAGCCACGGATGGCAAGCTTTGATCTCGCCATCA